CTATCCTTCCAGACGGGGTGGCATTTTCAATGTAATTTGAGGTTTCCTCCTTGTCCACTAGCAGGGTTCGAAAAATATGTTGCACATTTACTCTGAGGCAAAACTAGTCTCGATATGGTTTTTGATCCAAAATGCCACTCCTAGGGATATCTATAAATCTATCTGACACATAAACACAGCTTTGAATTGACCCATGACTTTAGTCTCTTTGAGTCATTTCCATCCATTATTTCACGGCACTTTTGATCTACGATCTTCAAATAAAACTTTAAGTATATATACGGATCATTTTAGCATTTCTTTCCTATTAGCTGATTAAATTACATCACGAATGATTTTTTTGCTGGAAAAGCAGTATTAGTAATAATCAAACTCGATCATTCACTTCCGCTCTGAAAAGGCTAGTAATACGGGATATTTTTCTTATTGGCATTCAATCTGTCAGGGCCAGATGTGACATATTTGTCTTGCTACTCTTGAATGCTAAGTTTAGCTCCATAAGAAAAAAACGCTTGTTTTGGTTGTATGATGCCGGGAACTATAATAGCAGAATCAATCTTTGTCTAAATTACATTATGGTTATCACCGATATGATAGTGTTTCCAAACTATAAATAATTCTTGAACAAGAATTAAGTAAAGCTGGGTCGCTCAAGATGATTTAAAGACCGCCAGTAGATTTTTTCCAAAGCGATATAAGTAGGCATAACAATGCCGTTTCGAGATGCTAATTAGACCTAGTTGATGTATGGGAAAACCTTTTGGGAACAAAGGCTAAAGGAATGGCATCGCATGACCTAATATCGATGTGGGGAAAATGCAACTACAAGTCCCTAAACGAATTAGGATAATTAATTGCAGATATGAAGACCAAGATGATGTAGCCTCTATTTTGGTATAAAAAAGACAAAGTTGTTTGACCTCGTTTTAGCAACTAGGTCGTGTTGTCAGAGGAACCTAGATGAATGTAACTTGTCTGAAGTCCTTTGTCATAGTAGTTATGCTAATTTCCAGTCTCAGACCATGGACTTGGTACATTCTTAGGCAATTTGCTGACATCGTGGTCGGCATCGACAGTGAGTTTTGCCATTCTTAGCACTGAGCTACAATTCGTCAAACCGACAAGTCCAATTCATCTAAATTTAATCCTCAGATTGCGCCACCCCTCAGTACACATCTTCAGTCATTTACAAAGACATGGGAATAACAAAATTAATCAAGCGTAAACAGGCTCCACTAAGCTAAGATTCGTAACTTTTCACCACTCGGTCTTTTAGTTAGATGAACTTCCAAGAACTTACTTTTTTGGAGTAATGATAATTTCATAGTTTTACCATGGACTTGGTAGATTCCTAGACGATTGTGAGTTATCTCCTTTACGAGTATGGTGCTTAAAAGGGCAAGACTAACTGAAGACACCGACTACGTTGCTAACAAAACGTCTGGGAATGTAGCAATTTTGCGGTCCGACGCTGGAAATTATCATTGCTACTAGAGCAGAAGACTTCGGACAGCGTGCATTCAGTTAGGACTCTGAAAACACGACCAAGTTGCGAAAGCGAGATCAAACCACTTCTTGGGTGACTAAGTTCTATTTTAGACTTAATAATATTCTCTAAAGTAATATACATATAAAATGATCAATTTCGTCAATTACATCTGCAGATACATGTTTGCTTAATCTACAACCCCACGTTTAAAAATCCTATTAGAGATGCCAAGCTTGTCTCGAAATTCACTTCCGCCCTACGATTCCCTAACACTAGTCCACTCTCGAGTCGATTCCTCTCTATCACAGAGTCTTTTGAGAGGTAAGGCTAAATGAAATTCAATAGCGCCATGAGGCCTACTTTGGAAGGAGACCATTATTCTTCCTTAATTCGACATAATCAACCTTACTTGACTAAGTTTAAATTGAAGTTAGATAAAATATGAAGGATTAATTCAATCACTAGTGGCATTATAATCATGCGAAAAGAGTATATGGTTGCTGCTAGTAAATGACAAAATACCTGCCTGCCTAGCCTTTATATTACTAGCTTTCCTTCCCACTCCACTTCTGCAACAAGTATTTTTTGTCATATATTTCAGGGAAAGAATCTGGCTGAGCTTCGTCGAGCAATGCCAAATGCCACTTTTTCATTGCCAACTGCCCTCCGCTTGATCTGTCAATGTCTTGAGGCAGTGCACATCCTACATGCATCCGGCTTCTTGCATCGTGATGTAAAGCCTTCCAACTTTGCCATTAATAGACTCTCTCAGCGAGATCCAACCATCACCTGTACTGCTGGTTCTGTTGGTCCGGTGGAAGGAGCCGTCCAGTTATGCGACTTGGCTCCCAGAGAACAAGGCATTGTCGAAACGACTGGTGAGCTGAAGACCAAGGCAAGCGTTATTGGCTCTGGTAAAGTAAATGGTACTAACAGTAACACCGAGGTTGATGTAACTTCGGGTTCTGTTAGGTCTAGACCACCGGTCGCAGCGACTTCCAGTCTGGCAAAGGGTGAGGGCCTCCTTCAGAAGAAGCCAGCTCGGCTTGACGAGACGATCTCTTGCGCATCCTCCTATTCGTCATCAGTCAAAGGAGAGCAGGCAACTGGAGTAGCCA